TTTCAACCATCACACTCATTCTTTCTGTCACTGACATCAGAAGAAACAAATCACTTCATATCAACAGTGGACACAGATCAATGGGGGAGGTTCACTGTTGGCCCACGGTCGGGCCTGTGTCGGCATGCTGACATCAGAGCAGGAGAGGCCGAGTGTTCAGCTGGACTCAATCACACTGAAGTTTTGGATTATAACCTTTATTTTAACCAAATGTTATATGTGTGTTTAGCAGTGAGGGGTCACCATGGTGATGGAGGCGTGTCTACCTCCACCTTCAGACGCCACCATAAATAACGGCTCACTCCTCCTCTCGTCTGCAGGTACTCCGTCTCCTCCTCGTCCTCTCTGTCCATCTTTAACTCTCGTCCAGCAGACTCTGGTTTCTATCACTGCAGAGTTCAGCTGCCCGGACTCTTCAACGACCAGACGTCCACCGTTCACCTCATCATCATCAGCCGTACGTCACTCATTCATTTATTTTCAGGACAACCAGAGGATCCAGAGTCGTGGTTTCAGGTGTGAGTCTCTGACCTCCTGTCTGTCTGTCCCGCAGCTCGCTCTGCGGCCTCTGGCGACGGAGACGCTGAGAACCTGAACGCACCACGCACTGCAACAAGTAAGTACAGGACTGAAGCTGATGCTGGTTCAGCTACAGGAGCCCTGAGCGGACACAAAGCTTCAGTCTGTCTCACACATGCAGATATTCTATAGCGATAATTCAAAGTCCCAAACTGTCTGTGTGTCAGGTTACAGCACTAGGGACGTGACGGGGGAGACAGGAAGTGATGTCAGCAACACCACAGAGCCAATGGTGGCGCAGGTTCAGGTACCAAACTCTGCAATTAACAATTATCCTCATTATCCATTAATGTTTCTCTTCTGTCAGAAACAGTGAAAAATACCTGTCACACTATAAATGTCTTGTTTTGTCCAATCAACAGTCGGCTCAGTGTCATGTGACAGAAAATCAAATGTCAATCAACTGATGGTTGAAACTCAACTGAGAGTGGAGCAGTTTATAGTGACAACTGAACTTTAATACACACATTATTATTATTATTATTATTATTATTATTATTATTATTATTATTGTTGTTGTTGTTGTTTCAAATGATGAGACAGTAATATTGATGATAATGATTTGAAGCCTTCAGCAGAATCAAACATTAACGTTCATGAGAGGAAATAAAATGATTCCACTGATACAAATATAAAGTCAGAGCAGGATGATGAACAGAGACTAAAGGACTCTCAGTAGGACGATGTCATTTTAACCAAAGAAGAAGTGTTTATGAGTTTGGAATCTAATTCACATTTGACCTTTCAAAGTAAAAGTTTAAAGCACATTTACACATTTTACACAGTGAAGAGTGTGTGTGATCAGCTGCTCAGGGGGTAAATGTTTAGTATTTCTAATTCCCTGTATCCCCTGTCATTGAGTTGTGGTTACCATGGCAACAGAGGAGTAAAAATGTGTTGTTTGTTTGTTGACAGTCAGCTGTCCAGCAGCAGCAGGTAAACAGTCTGCACATGTTTATTGGAAATACCGTGAGACTGTCCTTCATCATCTTCATCCCTGCACTGCTGCTGACTGCTGCTTACAGTCAGTACACACACACACACACACACACACACACACAAACACACACACACACACACACACACACACACAATCCCGCTCTCTGATTGGCTGGCAGGTTCAATTCAGACATGTTTTGATGTTTATCTGAAGAAGACAGACAGCAGCTGTTTTATTCCATGTGTGTGCAGGAGTGTGGAGATCGAACCAGAGGCCAGAGACTGACAGGAGGCTGGACCAATCAGAGGAGGAGGAGGAGGTCACCTCTGTGTAGGAGTCAGTGTTTGTCTCTGTACTGAAACTAAACTGTCTGTCTGCTGTTTCACTGCAGGTTTAGTCCAGCTGGGTTTCTGTAGAGAACGACCAGATCAGACCAGTCAGTGTCTCTTCAAGTTCCACAAGTAGAAACTGCAAAACGTGGGAATTTAACGGAAACAAATTCAACTATAAGATGTGAATACCAGAAACCATCAGCAGTAAATGAGTAAATAAACACATGCTTGTCAATATCTTTTCAATGCATTTCAGACTCATGCTTTAATAAGATTGCTGCTGCAGTTCTCCTCTCTGACCAGCAGGTGGCACCACTGACCACAGAACAGAGCTCTGTTACTCTGTTACTACCAGACACAACATTACTTATTATTATATTATATTTACTTTTGGTGATTGTATTTCATCATCTATTGAAACAGCCCAGACTCCAGCGTAGTGGTTAGAAGAGGTACTGCACCCTCGTTAGTTCAGTGGTGGGTGTCCCCGCCTGTCACACGGGGGCCAGTTGTGAATCGCTGTAACAGAGAAACAGCCAATAGGAAGGCAGCTTTTTGCTGCATTTTTTTTTTATTTTAAATTCCACAAAGGACGGTTCAAATCCCCGTTGAGACAGAATCAAATGTGAGATAAAATGAGTTGAAAGCATTAAAATACTTGGGATTTAAGAATTCAAATCTATAAATGTATAATTAGTCTTTGTAGAAGTACAATTATATTGGTGCATTAAATGTATTGGATGATGTAAATCCTGCTACTCTGAACAGATATATTACCGCTGCTTAGAACAAGTGGGGTCTTCTAAACTTCCATACTCTTCATAGCAGCCAGAATATTTCTTCTTTGGTGAATAAACAATCATATTCTCCCTTGACTTCATACAGCCAGTGACTTTAACTCAGGAGTTATCAGTGCACAGAATCTATGATCTCTTTGAGCGGCTTTGAAACATCTGAATCTCTGAAAGTATCACATGTCAGATTAGGATTAGTTGCCTTTATGTTAGTTAGTCAGTATGTGTATAAGAAAGCCAAATGTTTTTCACCTGCTAGAGAAGTGTTTTTGGAACATAGAGATTATTTTATTCTGAGATATTAAGTTAAAAGCAAACATACTGACAATTGCAAAATTTACAAGATGTGAATGATGAGTGAAGCAGTTATTATGGACATTAAATAAAAGCGTGAGGACTGTTTCACACAAACCTTGGACTATAGTCATAAAGAAAAGTAATAATATGTTTCCAATATAACTTTTTACAAAGGCTGAATGATTGTGTTCCCTTGGTTACACACTGGCCGTGACCCAGGCCTCAGCCTGAGATCCTGAAGCTCGGTCTTCATCACCAGCTCCAGCTGCCTGTGTCCTGGTCCCAGGCAGGGGACAGGAGCAGGTGTCTGAGCTGGTGGCATTATAATTAGTATTGATTGAATAGTTAGTGTGGAAATACTTTGATGAAATAAAAAGATGATAGCAGAGTGATGGAGGGGTTTTCTACATGCTGTATATTCTCACCACCTTCACCACTGTCCTCAAAAGTAAGGCCTTTGTGTGCAGAGGTGTGAGCAGGACTCGCTCTGGGTCCTCATGTACAGACTAAACATGACGACGTGATGACGACATGTGAAGAGGTTGTGAAACGATACGTGCATTAAACAGGTGTGTAATTGAATATCAGCTGGACACTAAAACAGAAACGACCTGCAGTTGACTCAGTCCTCTCTGCTCCGTCACCAGGAGCACCAGCTCTGGTGGGAGGGGCACAGGTGTTTTCCTCTTAGCACCTGGTGAGGCTGGAGCTAATTACACTTTATATGTAACTAGTGATCACATCATATGGTCACACGAGCAGCTGCATCAGGAGGGGGCTTGGTAACGCTTGATGTTCGTAGGAACTCAAACAGCCATAGACTTGCTTCTCCCACTTACAACAGACACAATAACCCAGACCACAGCGCTCACTGACCTGAGCAGAGGGAGCGATGTGACTCAATCAACAGGCATGTTGCTATTTATACAAGCCGTGTATACGACCACATGACAGTGTCAGAACATGAAAGCTGTTCACACCAAGAAATGAAACCATCAGACGGTTCGATTCTTTTCTTTTCTTTTTTTTAACATCCATTTAAGGTTTTTGAAGTTCACCATGATCCTAAGTGAACATGGATCAATACTTATGTATTAGCAGACTGTGCTCACTCTGCTGTCCACACTGATAAGTTCATGTGTAGTGTGTCCGAGTGGAAGCTGCAGATGTGTTTGCAGATGTGTTTGCGGTGTGGAGCCCAGTCGTCTTCTCTCAGTCTGCGATGAAGTGAAACTCTGAGTCCAAGATTAAGATTCAGGAAGTAACTCGTGCTGCCAACAGGAAGTCATCTGCTGACCGCGCTCTAAAAACCATCTGCCCTACATGTTCACAGAAATGAGAGGTGATGACCCTGGAGACGGATTACTTCACTCGGAACAAGTACTTCCTTATTTTCAAAATGTGGTACATTGTGTCATTCTGTCACACTTCACTTGTTAGAGACAGAAAGTTTATTAAGACCAAACTGCTGCAGTACGTTCCCTTCATGAAAAACCAGTTAACTAAAAGATTAAAAAACTGAAAGAATTATGACAAACATTCGCATTGAGTAGTTCATAACTACAACTTACTTTACTTTTCTAATTTACTGAATCATAAATTTGGCTCCATAAGTGAAGGTTCAGAAGATGCAGAGAGAGACCAGGTCTCCTGCACGACAAACTCTCAGGTTTCACTTCTGCACAAAGTCCAGACTCTCTCATCACTTTGTATGATACATGTAGAATATCTCAGAACACGTGTGTGTGTGTGCGTGTGTGTGTGTGTGTGTGTGTGCGTGTGTGTGTGCGTGTGTGTGTGTGTGCGTGTGCGTGTGTGTGTGCGTGTGTGTGTGTGTGCGTGTGCGTGTGTGTGTGCGTGTGTGTGTGTGTGCGTGTGCGTGTGTGTGTGCGTGTGTGTGTGTGTGCGTGTGCGTGTGTGTGTGCGTGTGTGTGTGTGTGCGTGTGCGTGTGTGTGTGCGTGTGTGTGTGTGTGCGTGTGCGTGTGTGTGTGCGTGTGTGTGTGTGTGTGTGTGGGTGTGGGTGTGGTTACTCACAGTGTTTCAGCAGCTGTGTTTAAATGTGGTGTGTGTGTGTGTGTGATGACAGTTTGTCGGCGTTCGTCATGAGGATCGTTCTGCTGCTCGTTCTGCTCACAGGTATTTCACATCATCATCTGCTTTATTGATCAGTGTTATCAGATCTGACCCAAACCACTTTTAAAGATTGTATTACTTTCTGTTACTTTCATCTGATTGGTGTATTTGACTGCAGCCCGTCTGGCACAGTCCTCTGTGCTAATATTAATATTAATATTAACATTAATGTTAGTGATGATTTATTAGTTATTGTCAAAGTGAAGGAAACATTATTTCCTTCACGGTCTGAAGGCGCCTCAGTCACATGACCTTTATCTAGTGTTTTGGGTTTAATTTCATCACATCATCTGCACTTCTGTTCAGTCTTTACCTTCCTGTGTGGGAGAAACAAACGCACCCATCAGAAAGACTGATGGAGAGACACAAGAAACAAGAATCAGTCAGACAGGTCCAACCAGCTGAACAGAGAAGTGATGTCTGACCTGTGTCCTGTCTCCACAGTCTCTCACAGTGACAGCAGGGGGGTCGAAGGTCGAGCAGGTGAGAGCGTCACTCTGACATGTAAATATGACGCTCAGAAACATGGCCGACTGTCAGCTTGCTGGAGTCGAGGAGATTTATCAATCTCAGGCTGCAACAACCAGATCATCAGCAGAGATAGACCAACGGTTTCCAGCAGGTATCAGTTACTGGGACGACTGGATGAAGGAGACGTTTCCATGACGATACTGAACCTCACAGAGACAGATGCTGGACGATATGGATGCAGAGTGGAGATACCTGGGTGGTTCAATGATGAAAAACATCACTTTGATCTGACTGTTGACGCAGGTGAGACGTTCTTTAAAGAGACTGAGTCTGTGCAGGAAAACAAAGGTTTAAATGAACGAGTCTCCGTTTCAGTTTTAATGAAACTGAGTGAAAAAAAACTTTTATTTCACTGTTCTCATTGTTTTTCAAAGAGAATATTCTGGAACAAACTGCCTGAATATAATTAAGTAGCATCACACTGAGCTGGTGATGTAGTTCTGGATATCAGCCCGGCTGTGATTGGGTCAGAGACAATCAGCTGATACTCATCTCTCCCTCAGTGTGATGTTCTACCAGCGCCATGTTAGTTCAATGAGCAACAACAGATTATGATCTGTTTGTTTATTTCATCATTTATTTGTCACAACGCTAGTAGTTCAACTGGGCTGGTGCTGGACTGTTGCTAAGCAACACATAAACATGTTCCTGACCTGCACAGTGACACTAGCTGCTGCCTCGTCTCCTCGTTCCCTCAGGTGTTTCTGAAGGATCCACCTTCTTCCTTCATCCTCTCCTGACGACATCGTTTCATTCAAACATTATTTCTGAAATATTTTCATCTTTGTTTGTTACAGTCTGAGATCGATAATGACGTTAATGTGACGCTGATTAACGGTTGATAGAACAGCTGTGAGGAGGAGTGATACATGGAGTTAAAGGTCCCAGTGCTGCTGTTCACTATATCAGCCTCATGGAATCACTCTCGTCCAATCAGATCACTTGCTTTGAACGAACTGTTGTGTAACATGAACTAATGCAGCGACGACAGTCTGTGAGTCAGAGTCAGAGTCTGCAGGTGAAACAGACAGGTGAAGCCAGGAGCAGCAGACTGAGGCCGACACACTCACTGACACTGTCCATGTTCCTCTCTGATCAGCTCCTCAGACCACATCAGAACCAAACACAGGGGCGTCTACACAGACACCAGCCGCTCAGACTGCAGGTACACACACACACACACACACACACACACCTGTGCTGTCACATGACTGTTTGGAGCCCAGACCTCAGACCAGGGTTTCTTACAGTCCACTCACAGCTTGTGTCTGAATGTTTTCCCTCCACCATGACGTCGTGCTGCTGACACAGCTGTGCTCAAAACATCTGCTTTCGTTTCCCTGTCCTGCAGATCACATGACCTCCACAGATCACGTGACCTCCACAGGGCGTGTCCTAACTTCCTCCACTAGCAGCACTGACGGCCTCGTGGACGAGGTGATGCACAAACACGTCCTGTGTGAACTCAGCAGATGTTGTTTAGTCTCTGTGGTTGTTCCACGTCTCTTTGCACTCGTCTTCTTTGTTTGCAGTTGTTTTGTGTCTGTTATATATAATATATATATTTATTTACTGTGAGGTCAGTTAAGTCAGTTCCTCACAGACGCTGAGGTCACACGTTAAACGTCAGTGTGACTTGAAGAGTCAGGAAGTGACACGATGTGTTCTGGTTTAGCAGGTGAGCAGCGGAGCAGTGCCTGTGGTTCTGGTGTGCGTTCTCTTCACGTTAATAGTGTTGCTCACAGTGGGCGGAGCCATCATTATGGGTAAGTGAGGGAGAGCGGCGGTCTCACGGCAACAGAGCAGCAAGTTCAACATGGACTGTGTGTCTGGGAAAGTCCTGCTCTTTAGTTTCAGATGACGTCACCGAACTAGAGAGGGAGAGGTGGTCAGTCGGCCATGACAGACGTCATGTGACGCGGTCACTGGCTTCAGATGTATAAACACTTTACAACATGATAAAGCCACTTTAATTCAATGACACTGAACTGTTCTCGGGTCAGTCGGATGCAGACTTTTCCTTCTGTCATTTAATAAATGACTGAAGGTGATTTTATTCTTATAAAACGTCTCCACATCATCACGTCATGTCTGTTTTCTCATTGGCTCATAAGGACGTTTCTGTGTCGCTGCTGTGACATCATGACATCAGATTTCTCCTGATTCTAGAGATTAATTACAAAAACACTCAGAACAAATCAGTTTCATCTGAGAGTTGAAATAATGTCACAGCAGCAGAACATTAAATCAATATCATTTATTTTATTACCTGAATCCCTTTATTCAGCATGAATTAATAATCAGTGTATAAACACATGTAATAAATGATTATAACTGAGTATAATGTAGTTTTCTCTCTTCATGATTATTAATGTTCAGTATTTGTTTGACATATTCGATATTATTCCAGCTGTTAATAAACGGCGAAAAGGGAAGCATGGAGGATGTTAATGATGTAATATAAATATAATCATAGGTAAATATAATGATAAAAAATATGCTAATATGATGTTATAAGATTTCCTTTAATATAAAATAGTGTAGAATAATATGGTTATAGTGAGGTGGTGTATGTATTATTCATATTATATAATGATTCTAAACATGTTATTACACTAATATATATTATTATATTATAATAACAGTTATAATAAACTATGCAAAGTAAAGCAAGTAATCAGTCAGGTCGGTCACTGAGATTTAAAGGGAAGGAAATGTCTGTGCATGAAGCTGTGACGTCTCTTTCTGTTTCTGTCTCTACAGCCAGAAAACGGAGGCGACTCAACAAAATGTGAGTTTTTATCTTGTTTTTTCCTGCAGCTCGTTAAACCTGTTGATTAAAGTTCGCACTTGTCTCCACTGACGAACCGTGACTCAGCAGAGCCGTGAGGAGTCCGCAGGTTGACCTCAGGCTCAGGAATCATTATCACTGCGTCCTCGTTGTCATCTTCATCACGCCATCGTCTTCACACTCGGTGCGGTTGAGATGTGCTCAAACTGAAACCAGGCGATGACAGAAGAACCACAAACCACACGGCTGATTTCTGATAAACGTTTAATCGGTTCCACCAGTTAATGCTGAACATGAAGACACGGCGTCGCCACAAAACTCCCACATTCAAACGTCTAGATTTATCCAGAACACTGAATTTCTTATTGAGTGTGTCTTAAAGTCTTCACAGCATCAGGACCAGACGTCTCCAACTCTTAACGAGCAGCAGCCTGTTAATGATAATTAGTAATTCAGTGCAACTTTATTTTAAATTCTCGTTGACTTGAAGTTTGAACCTGTCAGGAATTCAATTCTTTTGTTTAATTGCTATTTAAGGCAGAATATTTTAATCCAATGGTAGCCATAGAAACATGGTCTCATGTTTAAAGGAGCTATTTGTAAGTTTTGCTATTGCTACATAGCTAACGTTAGCATCAGCTGTTTACTCACCAGTCTAGAAGAAACGTTGTGAGTTCAGCATCAAACCTCATTCCTTTACGCTGAAGCTCTTGGCTCTTTGTGCTAAGCTAGGCTAAGCTAAACATATCCTTGATTACAGAGGTGAAACCCTCCCTCTTATTTAACTGAGACACCTACAGGTGATTCTTGAAGTCTCTTGTAGTTATTGTTTATTTGGGCACAAAGGCTGAGACTGAATCTCACCTCTCCACTTTAATTACTTCATTAATATCTGATTAAAACATGAAAGTTCCTGAAACGTGAAGCTGAAGATTCTCGTGTCCAGCAGCTTTTTTTCACCAGAAACAGAAACTCTGAGAAAGAGACGAAAGCGAAGAGAGGAAACACCTGTGGTTTCCTCTGTGACTGACGTGACATTCACACACACGTCATTATCGTTCTGAAAATGTCAAGTATCATGTGACCAAAGGAGACGCATCTGAAGTAAATGGATTAACCTGAAGTGTGTGTTTGTTCAAGGATTAGAGGTTTTTTAGATCGTAGATTCTTACAAATTTAATTCAGTACTAATAAGTTTGTACTTCCTGGGTACAATGTCTCATGACATTGTCCTAAGTTTACAGTAAGTGCTAAACATTGACATTGTTCTTTCTAGGAAGCTTTTTAGAAAATTATGGGGAAATAATGAAATCAAAGAAAATAATAAATAAGTAAAAATATGAGCAGAATAATTCTCTCTGTGTCTCAGGCCTCAGCAGCAGCAGCAGGTCAACACTTTGCCAACTCTGCAGCTCCAAAGTCGGGGTTCGGCGGTGGAGAACATTTATCAGATCAACGAAGACGGTGACGGAGGCGAGTACGAGTACTGTCCCTGAAGCCTGAAGCTCCGCCCACTGAGCTGCAGGGAGACAGGAAGACGACGAGCTCCGTTAGCTTTCAGCTACATGGAAGGACAGTCTCTGGCTGAGGGGAGGCGTCCATGTTTGTTCTGTCAGATACAGTCGTTCCCTCAAAGTTTCACGGGTGTAATTACAACATGAACATTGATGTTATTTATAAGATGTACAAGATATTTAAAAGATGGAAATTTGTACTGATGATAACAGAGCGACACATGAACGCAGCACAGTTTCAACCCTCCATTAAGTGAAGTTCGTGTCTCCTCAGAGTCTGCTTTGTAAATATCCTGAAGATCTTCACAGGTGTGATATAACGGACATATGGTCATTTTGACACGTGCAGTATTTTAACCTTCACATGACCAACAGCGTCTCTGTCCACGTCACTGAGTCACTTCATTTTATTTGACAGGAAGTATTTCATATATTTCTCAAAGTTTCATTGAATAAAACTTTTGAATAACGTGACTGACGGTGACTGGACTGATCTCTGTTCTCCTGTAGAACCATCAGAGAACCTTTCTCTACTGTCACATGACCTGTCACCTTTTCCAGCACTAAACCCGACATCAGTCGTATGATCAGGGCTGAAGCTGCTGCTGAAGGGACCAAAGCTTCTCTTAAATAAAGTGTTCAAGTCTGAACTTCATGTGTTCCTGTCATCATTGAGTCTTTGAAGATTCTGGGGATTAAATGAAGTTTAATTGAAGTTTAAGTGACCGGACTCCGTCCCCGAGGTGAGGTAGGTCGGAGAGAGAGACAGGCAGCAGAGCAGACAGACAGCTGTGCTAGCTGCTAGCTGCTAGCTATAGCAGCTTCACAAATGAAAGAGTTACTGTCCTAAAACATTTTTGTTTTTATCTTGTCTCTAGGCAGAGAAAAGATTAGTTCTCTCTCTCGTTGGTAATTCATGAAGTAACGAAGACAAACAGCCCCAGAACTTGAAAACAAGGTTTTCTGTGTGAGAAGTGAAGAAGAAGAAGTTAATGAACTGAACTCGAGTATTCACAGCCTGCAATACTTTGATGAAAAGCCCTTCGATTCTTCTGATCTGATCTGGTCACCAGAGACAGGTGGGTTTTAAGAGGCTCCGCCCCTTCAGGTGTACTTTTATTCCTGTTTACGCTTCACGTAGGAAAATAGTAAAAACAAGATTATTGGTGGAGTCACACCCATGAGTCAGGACCAACCAACTAACCTGTAATATTCATCTTCCATAGATTTACAGCTCAACACGCTTTTAGTTTCAAAGTGATGGTTCTGTTTGGAGCTTTAATGACCTTTAATCAGTCACCAGTTTATTACAGTTCAACAGTTTCCATGGTCCAAATATATAAAACTAGGACCGTCCCCCTTTATGACCTCATAGATAAACACACTGAATCTGAACCAATCATGTCGATGATACTGAAAGTGTCTCTGGTTTTCATTTCACAAATCTGCTCACCTTAACTCAAGCAGCTGCCGCTGATCCCAGAGTTCATCTGTGGCTGTTTGCCGCCACCTAGTGGCAGAAAAACATACAGGTCGTCTCTGACATTACAGCTGGGACTACAACTCCCACAACCCCTCACTCTCTAACTCCTCCTCCTTCTCCACATTCCTTCAAACTCCAACTTCCTGTTCCCACCATCCAGCTCCAAGTGTTTGGTCCTGAGTGGCGGGAGCCTCCCCCTCCCTCCTGGCCCCACCCTGCTCTACGGGCCACATGTCTGACTGTCGTCTTCTTCTTTAGTGGAAAACACAGCTGGTTCAGTGAGTGGAGAACGTCTGTGTGGACCAGAGGGGACGGAGACACGCAGACTCAGGAAAGAATCCGGGCCTCCTGGTCCAGATGTGACTCAGCCCAGAGCGACGCCCCATTTCCTGTCGTCATGTTTAGGTAATATCACATGAGAGATAACGACTGAATCACACGCTGATGCTCAGGACGTCACCACCTCCAGTTTCATACAACAGTTCTACCAGCGCCACATTAGTCTAATAAACAACAACAGATTATGATTCATTTATTTCATCACCTACACCAACACTAATAGTTTCTGGGCTGGTGCTGGACTGTTGCTAAGCAACACGTAAACATGTTCCTCACCTGCACAGTGACACCAGCTGCTGCCTCGTCTCCTCGTTCCCTCAGGTGTTTCTGAAGGATCCACCTTCTTCCTTCATCCTCTCCTGACGACATCGTTTCATTCAAACGTCATTTTCATCTTTGTTTCAATTTGAGTCGTCGCCTCTGTGACGTCACCCACAGGTTTCTGAAGCTCAGAGTGAGCTGCTCCATCGTCGCCACCTTGGCAGTGACTGACTCCGCCCCTTACTCCCAGCTAATCCAAAAATATGTGCATATATATATATATATATATATATATACATATATATATGTATATGTATAAATGTTTTTAAAAGTTTTAAGATTAAATGATCTATAAAAACATAAAAAATGTTGGAAAACTCAAACTTTGCCAGGANTCTGTGACGTCACCCACAGGTTTCTGAAGCTCAGAGTGAGCTGCTCCATCGTCGCCACCTTGGCAGTGACTGACTCCGCCCCTTACTCCCAGCTAATCCAAAAATATGTG